ATCAAATAAATAATGCAGACCAGATACTGCATTAAAAGCAAACCAGATACTTGGTATTCTTAAAATAACTTTTATTAATATTAATAAAAGTTGAATTCCAAATATGCGTATCCCGCATTATGACGTAATGATATAATGACATCAGGCAATGATAAAGCGTAAACATTAGAAAATTGTAGTTTTTATTATTTCAAATTAACACGAGTGATTTTTTCTGTTCTACATTAAGTAAAGGAGGAGGAAGTGAAGTTTATTGCTGTATTCCACAATGCAAAAGTTCATTTTACGATTTTCAAAAAAAACGTCAGGAATTGCATTTTTTAAAATACCCAAGAATACTGCTCGTCGAAATAAGTGGGCAAAAATTATTTCTCAATTTAGAAGAAAAGGTCGTAATGATAATTTCGTTATTATAGACACGCCTCTAGTATGCGAGCTTCATTTTAAAAATGAAGACATTCATTTTTATCCAATATTGGTAGAAAAACTTTAAAAAAAGAAGCATTTCCATCTATTTTTGAATTTAAAAAACAAGTTGATGTACAAAAACGAAGTTCGCCTAAAAAAAGAAAATTTATCGAAAACTTTGATATTGAAAACGTTTCTAGAAATGAAGAAGATAATTTTAAAAATAACGATAAAGAACTATTAATTGATTTTGAAATTGAGAAAAGTTGCATATTTTGTGTTGAACTACAAAACAAAATTGATCTACTGGAAAATGAAAAAACACGAGTTGAAATCTCAAATAAGCATTTTAGAATCTAAGAATAAAAAAAATAAAAAATCAACTGAACCAATATAAAAATAAATACATACTAAGTTATGAAAATATGTCAACAGACAAAGAACTGTTCCAAAAATAAACTGACATAGAACATGAACAGTATGTAAATTTGTACAACTTTTTAAATCCAGGAAAAAATGGTAAAAATATTAAATTTTCACCATTTTTTCCACAACTCAGCATTATCTGAAAATATGCACAGGTTAGGTAATCAGGCAAAAACTGGTCCAAAAACAAAATTAAACACAGAAAATCAGTTATTTATGTTTTTAGTGTGGCTAAAAAATGGATTTACAATTTTGCACACATCTTGGTTATTTAAAATTTCAAAATCAACAACATCTCGTTATTTGATAACATGGACAAACTTTCTATATTTTTCTTTGGGAAGTGTACCTATTTGGCCTTCACGCGAACAAGTTAATAAGTTTATGCCAGAAAGCTTTAAGATGACATTTCCATCAACAAGATGCATTATTGATTGTACTAAACTGTTTTGTCAGAAACCTTCATCATGAGACACCAGAGTTCTTTATTTTCTAGTTATAAACATCATTTAACTTATAAAGGATTGTTAGGTATTTCTCCTTCAGGAGCAATAACTTTTATAAGTCAACTTTATGATGGATCTATTTCTGACAGAGAAATTGTTGTAAGATCAGGTTTCCTTAATAAAGAACTATGGAACAAAAATGATTCAGTTATGGCTGATCGTGGGTTTACCATTTCAGACCATTTAAACACAATCAATGTTAAAAATAATATACCTTTTTTTTTAATCCACATATACAGATAAGTAAAGAAAATGCTACAGAACGTCAAACCATTGCATCATTGAGAATTCACGTGCTATTCGTAGGATTAAAGTATTTCGTCAAATAAGTAATTAACCAACTATTGACAGTAACTTGTCTTTTATGTAACTTTTTGCCACCACTTATTAAAAAATAAGATCAAAAGTAAAAACATTTATTTACATATATTGGAAAATTTCCAAATGATGTTTTAGTAAAACTAAAAATGTCAGGTACGCAATGAACAATACCAATATCTTTATTGAAAAAAGTAACATTTGATTTTAGATTGCAAATATTTCCTTTTAAAGTTTCTTCTTTACACTTTATTCGTCTTGGATCATATAAAGTAGCCTTAATGCCACGCTTAAATTCAAATTTTTGAACATTTGTAAACATAACAGGATTTTTAATTGTTTTAGTTTTATGACCTGGAATGACCCATTGCATTGATTTAGTACAAGCAATCTCTTCAGGTACATACTCAAGTAAATTTAAAAAGTATTCTGCAAGTTCAAATAACAAAGCCATCACGTGATTACAATAACCACTATTTCCAGCAGGGCATGAGCAATATGCTTTTCTAACAGAGCTAGTCAATCTGCTAATAAAAACTTTTAAATCACGAACTTCATTTTTCATGCTTGCTTTGCATTTTGCTTTTACTATGATACACGTTAGGTTACACGAAGTGTAAATACTATCTAATGATATATATCGTTCAGATTTAAATCTTTTACCTCTTTCAAATGTTTTTTTTATTGCAATACTTTTGTTTTTAGCTTTTTTTTTCTGTAGTTTTCTATTTCTTTAATAGTGGCAAGTATTTTAAACTTTTACACCAAGTTAAAGTTTTATCTTCAGATTTAAAATTAGGTGAAATATTTAAATTTCTATTTATTTCTAAAACAATTGGTATTTCAGTTGAATAATTTTGTATATCTATCAGAGCATCTTCTACTTGAGAGTTCATTTTTTAAACAATTATTTCGATATTTACGTTTTATCATTGCCTGATGTCATTACATCATTACGTCATTGGAATAAGGGATACGTCTAATAGACGTATCATCCCGCATTCCAATGACGGAATTCAAGTATGTTTTTAAAACTATACATTACCTATGCACGCTGCTTGAGTTTTGCGCTCCAGTATGGGATCCCAGTTTAAAAGATGATATTGAAAATTCAACGCAGAGTAACTAAACTAGTTTCTCAAATAAGAAACACACTCACATTTCCTAAAACCATCAAATCAAATAATAAATTTTTGTATGATAAAGAAGAGATAGCTAACGAGCTGAATAAATATTTTGTTTCTGTTGGACCAAATTTATCCCAAAAAATTCTTCAAGCAATTAATCCAATAAGTAATCTATTTATTTCTAATACATCATAATTTAATTCGTTTGAACTAACTTTTGAAGAGTTTGAATGCGCTTTTAAAATGCTAAAACCCAACAAGTCAGCATGTCCGTATGATATCAATGTAAATATTGTTATTAAATCGTATGAAATCATAAAAGATGTACTTTTTAAGATTTTTTCTTGTTCTATTAGGCAAGGAATTTTTCCTAACCAACTAAAAATAGCAAAGGTGATTCCGATATTTAAGGGAGGTGATTTAACTAATGTTAGCAACTATCGTCCCATTTGTATTCCATCTGCATTTTCAAAAGTCTTGTGGAGAATTTTATACAACAGAGTTTATAATCATTTATTTGTAAACAATTTAATATATAGCAATTAATATGGATTCAAAAAAAATAACTTGACAGAACACGCAGTTCTCCAGTTTACGAGAAGTATTACTAACTCTTTTGAAAACTCCCAATATACAGTTGGGGTTTTATTGACTTAGCTAAAGCTTTCTATACAATAGACCACAATATTCTTTTAAATAAACTAAAGGTTTACGGTATAAACGGAAGTGTTTTAAATTGGTTAAAAAGCTATTTAAATAATCGAAAGCAAGTTGTATACGTTGATGTAGTTTCACCAGTAAACTTGCTTGATATAACCTGAGGAGTTCCTCAGGGATCAATATTAGGGCCTCTTCTTTTCTTATTTACATCAACGATCTCCATAAACCCTCAAATTTAATGACGACTATGTTTGCAGATGACACGAACTTATTTTTATCTCATAATGATATTATATTGTTATTTCAGAATATCAATAATGAACTAGTAAGAGTTTCTGATTGCTTTAAGACAAATAAACTGTCTCTTAATATTGATAAAACGAAATGGATTTTTTTCCATCCGAATTACAAAAAAAATTTTATACCAAATGAGATGCCACTGCTTTTTATTGATAATATACTTCTAAAAAAAGTAACAGTTACAAATTTCTTGGTATTTATATTGATGAAAAATTGTTGAAGTCATTGAAAAGTCAAATAAAAAAATTGAGTAGTAAAATATCATAAAGCATAGGAATTCTGTACAAAGCAAGGAGTTTTTTAAATAAACATACATTACTTAAACTATATTATTCGCTCATTCATTGTCACATAAACTATGCGAACATTGCGTATGATAGTACTAATAAAAGTAAACTGGAACCTCTTTATCGTCAACAGAAACATGTTGCACGTCTTATTAATTTTAAGGATCGATTTACACATGTCAAGCCTCTATTAATTGAAATGAAAGTTTTAAATATATATGAGCTTAATATTTTTAACGTTATATGTTTTATATTTAAATGTAAAAACAATATTTCTCCTGTACCTTTTTATAATTTGTATAACAAAAAAGAAAAACTATATACATTTTACGAAATGATAATGACATTCGTCAATCAGCTTATCAAACTAATTCTGGAAAATACTGTATTTCATTTCGAGGAGCATTACTCTGGAATAAAATAGATTTAAAGAATTTAGACTTTTCTCAAGAAGTTAGCTATCACTCTTTCAAACAAAAACTTAAAAAAGTCATTTTTTTATTAGATCATATACCTATATTCTTTTAATTTTTTGTTTCTTTTTTAACTTTATATTTAACACTGCATTAATAAATTTTATAATTTAACAGTTTGTAAATAGTTGTTTAATACTTTTGTTAAAGGTACCTTAAAACTGTATAATAAAACCTTTAACAAAAAGTTGAACAATTTTGTTAAAGGTATCTTAAAACTATATAACGCATCTATGTATTTATAACGAAACCCTTTTTCTTTTTCTTTTTTTCTTTAAATTTGCTAATGTTTTCAATTCTTAATTCTTAATTATTTGTTATCTTCAAGTATGTTAAGTATATATTCCTATTGAAAGTTTATTTATTTTAAGAATATTTTATTAACACGAAATATTAACACGTAAATTTTTTAGCGGTTCTCGACGACAAGACCTTACGGTCTTCTATGAGTTCCCGCGTTCTTTTATTTCTTAATAACTTAATAACGATCATGTA